CTCTTCTTGCCCTTCTTCCTTATTCATTGCTGACTCTAAGATAGCGGTTACAGTACGCGTTCTATTAGGTTTACAGTCACCTTGCCACCAGGAAGACTCGCCACCAGCTTTGATTTCTTCTGCCATCTTCAGATTCACCTCTCTCTCAACTTTACGTGTCCGATTTTTATGACGAGGATACTGGCATGAATCTCATACCAAGTTGTGTACGATATTTGAGGAATATCGTGAAATCGCGGCTTTCGTAATCTCCAAATAAGCCAATACGCGCTAGAATAAGCTTCTTCTCGAACGAAACGCATGTTTGGGATACATTGACGTCTCTCAAATGTTTTTATTTTTATTTTTTTATGCTGTACACCCACGAGTTTAGAGTTGTGAGCTGTTGCCGTCCCTGGCCAGCGCGAGAATTGAGAGCTTTTTAGACACTCGATTTCTTATACGGCATCACTATGAAGACGTAATACAACTGATACACCTACACTACAAAGGATTGACAATGTCTGTCGCGCTGTTGCGAGAAGGAGGAAAATATTACCGGCAGCGTAAATTCTTTAAGAGTTTCAGAGACTTTCCAGAGATGTCTATCTTTGGCTGCCACAAAAAATTGACCCTCTCTTAAATTTACTGGGGAAAATGAAATATTATAAAACAGGTCATAAACTGACCAGTGAATAAAATATTTTGAAATATCGTTCGGAATTTGCCTTTTATGGCGTGCAAATCAAGGGTAGACAAAGTTTATAAAACATTTGACAAGAATTTCATGGGGTTCACCTCGATAATTTTCGTCGGCCAGAGTCAAGACACACCAAGCTAAGTGACATCGCCCTCCAGTAAAATAATTTTCCAAAGAATAAATGTGGCAAGCGTGGGGAAACGCACATTTTTTTTTATTATTGATCAAAGCCCAATGATGTACTTAAATTGGTACTTATGGTATCAAATCATTGATTATGACAGGGTGAGCTTAATTTTTCTGTTGAACTCACTGCACGAACTGAGAAAGTAAAAACTTGTATTTATCTCCCACGCATTTCGTCTGACAATAGTGGACTTCATTAAGGAGTTTTACAAGGAGGGTATATAAGCTTGCTCAAATACAAATAGTAAATAAGTTGTCTCTTTACTATTGAAGCCAGTGGATATAATTCGCCAGGTGCGCCTACGGTGTTATACATGCGTGACATTTTTCGTAATCTGTTTGAGGGTCACATATTTAGTGTAAATATTTGACCCCTCGACGTCACGTAATGTCTCTAGTTTACAGAGGTCTTAGAAAGCTTCATTACATGGATTTACCTTTTGCGGGTAGAAGGTTAAAAGCGAATTTCTCGGGCGTAATTGCCTTTGATTTCTCAATTGATGTTGTCGCAAATACAGTTTTAAGGAGTCACGAAACAAAAAAACTTATCAGGACCTATTTTCATGTTCTAATGGAAATAAATAGCAAATAATAACACATTCTCTTGAGAAATAAAGTTATAAATAACTGGGGTTCTTTGAAACAAATGGTGATAGAAAAGATTTCAGATCTGGTCAATATTGACTTTTCATAGCCTTCTTCCAAATCTGAGGGAACGCGCTGAGGGAATAAAAAAAACATACATGTGTTATAATGCAAGGAAGAGAATACAAATACAAATAAAGAAAAAGGAAAAACATAGGAACCAGTGTTGCAGCGCGCAGATATCTTTTGAGCCAGACCTACACACTTATGCCGGACACCACGCAAAGAAACTCGAAAGAGTGCTGTACATGAACTTGCTCACACGTGCACGCAGGACAATCAGCGAAAATAATGGCAAATGCAGATGATATTTGCAGTCAAAAAACAGGCAAATAAGATGACAGAAGGATAAAGAACTTTCTGGAGGTGTCTTCTTAAAAAAAAGAAAAACAATTTTTACTTCTCATGAAGGGTCACGCAGTCACGCAACAAATACTATTTCTACGTAGAATTTCTTGATGGCGGAAAGTGGAAAAACCATTTTCCAGTCTTATTTTCTGGAAACATGGCGCAGTTGATGAATTTTATGGGGTTATTGATATTTCTTATCATATAAGAGAAGCAGAGTTTCCCGAAAAGCCGAAATTGTTACACTTGGGAACTTGTGCGTCAACAAGCACGCGGCATCTGAATTTAAAATCTCCTCTCCTGTTACAGTTTCCTTATTGTGAACTGTGCGATAATGATAATAAACAATCCAATTGTAGACTAATGAATGTTTTGGTTTTGTACAAGTGCCCTATTTCCTGATTTTAGCAAATCTCTAAAATAATAAAAGACAGGAGAAAGAAACGCTACGATTTTCCCATCGATTTTTCAGCTAAAAACACGTCGAGAGAGCTGGTATCTTTGTAAACAGCGATTTGTTTATTTAGCACTCGAGAAAAGTCAACTCAAAAACTTTACCTAAAACGGTGGTTTGTTCACTTAACAATAAAGGAACGTTAATTTTTAAGTTAAAATCGATATATTTAAATGAATCAAAACTGAAGTAGAGACCAAACACGTCGAGTTTTGTCCCAATAGCGTGCGATTCGCAGTAGGAGTACAGCAAGGAAAATGGCCTAACTCCGTGAAACTGCACGCTATATATTTTGGTCTAGCGCGCTCACTTTTCACGGGCCAAAAACAATATTTTTACATGATAAACATGAAGAATTTCTCGTTGAAAAGAGCTCTTTTATTTTATGTAAATTTGTATACCCCCGATGTTATGGTCGTCTGAAATATAGCAAAATTCAGCGTACAAACGGAATAGAAAATATAGTGTACTTTACGCTGGTGGCTACAAACGAAAGAAAGTTCAGTTAGAGATGAAATATAGTTGCAAAGCTACTCCGAGGGATGAAAAACAACTTATGAAAAAATGAATCCAAGATAATATTTCGCTGTCTTGTACGAGCGTTGTGAAAATGCACTAAAAGCCCAATAGAAATTATGCAAATTAGGTACGTTTTGGCCGATTTCGAACTTTCATATTTTGTTCCAAAATAAAAACTCGCTCGAACTTTTGAATATTATTTTTGAAAAAGATTCACCAAAAGGGTCTTTTTGAGAAAATAAAAACAAAGTTGAATTTTTGCTTCTGTCGCCGGATTCTCGAAAATTACTGACAACCTCTCTTAAATATTCGGCGAGTTCAACTGCAAACTGATTGATATGACTGTTCCATCTGATAGAAACATCGTTCAGAAGGAAATGGAAAAGAACAGCAAGTACAAAGACCTAGAACTAGAAATACAGAACATGTGTCGTATGAAAACCATAGTGCTCCTTCTGGTTGTTGGTGCGCTTGGTACAGTAAAGAAGTGTATGGTGGAAAACATAACGAAAGTATCAGAAGAAGCTAATGTGACACAGATTCAAAAGATCTGCATTCTGGGATCTATGCAAATCCTCAGAAAGGTGCTTAGCGTATGAACAGAGTGACTGACTTGAATGACTGATGCCCTAGGTGCATGGTTTGCGCCCAGCGGATGCACAAAAAGAACACCAGCAAAGACTGTGATGGAAGAGATAATAATACCGATGATAATAAAAATAATAATGATAATAATAATAATAATAATAATAATAATAATAATAATAATAAAAGAAAGATATTAATGAATCAATTGATGTCCATTAGTCTCTTATGCCCGAAACGAATTTTTAACATGGAGAAAATGGGGCAAAACACAAGGAAGCTGAAATCAATTGACTCATTCAGAGGCCCCGCTTTTGAAATTGTGTAAACAGGGGAAGAGGCGAACTTAAACAAGTTACTTGATGAAAGTTTTACATCTCGAAACGACCGTGCTGGGTACGAAACGACTTAATTGTTTGGGTACGAGTTGACTCAACTGTTTGGGTACGAAACGTTTTAGCTGGGTACGAAACGACCGAAGGTACGAAACGACTGGTAACCTTACAATCAATCTCATGTATCAAAAACTGATCCTGTTATACAACTGTAATTTTTTCTTAACAGCGGTCACTATCATTGGTTACTTTGGGGTAACATTACATCCAACAATAAAACTGTTGTCTGTGTAAAGTTTCTGATCTGAGTGGACAACATTACAAAATCTTTGACATCAGTAGGTAGCAATGGAACGTTTCCCGCTCGTGTTTATGAACGACCACTATTACACGTGAACATGGCTTGACTGAGAGTAACGTTAAACCGGCATGATATTATGGTTTTGTGATATTTTGCTCTATTACACACTTTAAAGGAGGTCATCAAAATGTTCGATTTGTTTCTGCATCACCTCCTCTAATTTATTCATTTTGCTATACAATAACTTACTAGACGACTGTGCCTACTGTGAAGCGTTCTTTTTTGTTTTACTCAGGACCAGTTCTGAAGAGTTTACTATTTAAAAGACTTTCTATAATAGGATACTTAATAGATGGAAATCATTGGACAGTTCCCTTCAAATTTTTAACTTTATAATGGTTTTTGACCTCACTCTTGCAAGTTAAATTTTAAAAAGTGTCAACAAATCTCAGAATTTTAAGCTTAAGCGTGTTGAATATTATAATCCTAGACGGTGCCATTTTTTTAATACGTAGCCAGAGGAAGAGGATTCTTATCATCTCCCTTGTTGAAAAAGGAACAAGGGATTTAAATTTATATAAAACTTCTGCAATTACCACCACAACTACTAATAATACAGAAATCCATTTTGAAAAATTACTGTAAAACTCAAAAAAAATGTTTTGGAATTAGCGGAACAATTCCATAATTTGCACAAGGCCATCATCATTCGCATTCCCACCAGCCAAACCGGAACAATCTTCGCCATTACAGTACGAGCCTCCTCCACCTCCGGCTTGTTGCCAACGGGTACCACTACCTCCCCCAGAGTAGCCACCACCTCCACCTGATGCACCATTATCCTCTGCTCCACCTCCCCCACCACCAAACCCACCAACTGCTCCTGGTGCAGGGCCCCCCGTTATTACCGCTATTCATATCTCCGGCTTGACCTCCGATCCACGCTTGCGCACGTGATCCACCTCTTTCCCCATGGGAGGAGCCTAGCCGGGTACAACCTTGACCAAACCAACCCGCTCCCACTCCTCCATGGTGGTAACCGCCCTCACTGTTGCATTCACCTGGCTGCCCACCTATGCCTCCATTTCGAACTTGTGACGAAACCTGCCCTACACTACTGGTGCCATTTGATTCCGCCTGACCATCCACACCATTATATCCACCAGACGCACCCCCTCCTCCTCCGGCAGCCAGCAACAGAACATCAGCTGTAGTATAAACAAAACTTCCTCCCCCTCCTCCAGTGCCAGCATTGTCTTCCACGGACACTCCTAGTTGAGCTGCTGTTTTGTTAGTGCTTTGTCCGCCTTTAACCTCCACTGAATCTCCTCCTCTTTGTCCCACCACAATATTTAACACTGTTCCTTTATTCAGTCTGAACTTCCCTTCTTTAAACGCTCCCTTTCCACCATAATATGTTCCTGGATAGTCTCCATAATCGTATGAATGTGTTCCTCCCCGAGCTCCCCAGGCTTTGATGAGATAGCGGGTGGTCCGTGGAACAGTGAACGTCTGTATAATGCCGAAGCGTCCTCTTCTTCCACCGGCTCCAAATCCAGCTAGCAACAGAAATAAAAAGAAACTAGATCGTCTACTATAAATGACAAAAAAAAACAATGAAAAATGTAAATTGACATCAAAATGTTAAAAAGTAATAAGTTTATCAGTTGGCAAGTCAGTCAGTCAGTCTCTCCCCGAGCGCAAGTTACAAGTTACAACTGAAAGATCTTGTTGAACTCTGCTTATGGGCAATTTCAAGTCTCACACGGCTCGAGCAGCCGCGGTAAAACTTTTCGATCGAGTGCCATCAACCAAAATTCCTCAAACCACGAACCTTTGTCTGTTTCAGAGGCCTTTTTTCGCCTTTTTGTGTCGAATTTCTTCTCTGCCAAGCTATCTTTCTTGGACTTTCGTCCAGTTTTACACCCAAACCGATTGCAGAGATCTGCACGTGCGATCGAAATCAGGAAATGTTTATGCGACTGAAATTGAATAGCAGCCGCTTATAAGATGTTTCGCCGCAAAAAGTATCTCTAATTCGTGTTGACAGGTTCTAGTTGGCCATGAACACTTGACGGGCTGAATAATTAGTGCAAAAAAAAAAAAAGAAAATTGGCCTCCGAAGGTCTACCGTATCCTTACTTTGGTTAAGGTGTTCCCAAATTTTATAACTGATGTAATACAGACATGGACAAATGAGAAAACAACACGACATTTACCGCTATATTTGACGGTTGTGACAAGGATTTCATCGAAAGGAGACAAACAGTGCACAACAAATCAATTACTCTACCTGTAAATCACAAGAATTAAAATTTTCACATCCACATCAATTACAAGAACAAAAAAAACTTCAGTTTTGTCACCCTTTCTTTCCATATTGCAAGAAACAAGAACAGTTTTTCCCGTTGTGATGGAGTAAAGCCAGTACTCGCCGCTGGTCGCTTCTCCCTCTTCGCTTCGTTGTATCTCCTCACATGTATCCGCTGGAAATTCCGGAATGGAACCAAGACGAACTGAGGTCGAAAAACATTTCCTTTAGAATGTAATTCTAATTCCATTTGCCCACTAAAAATAAAACTAAATCTATACATGTACTGGAGAGAAGGCAAGTTTTGACGTCATGAACTTCATTGCGGGTTTCCGTCTTATTACAGTGCGCAAGTGAAAGAAAAAAAAAAATATTCACTTTTGTTTACTATAGTTCTCGATGGAAAAAGGCTTTCGGGTTAGAAATTGCCTTCTGACTTAAATGTGGGAATAACTTCAAAGTATAAATTTAGACCAATTTATGTCATTCACCTATGGTCTTACTTTTCTAGTAAGACTAGCCACTATTGTTCAGATGGGTTTCACTTCATTGATGAGGGTTTTCTATGGTTAAACTGACCTCTTTCCTTATTACTCTTAACATAATATCTCGCAGAATTTGGCACAAAGTTCTCTGGTCTGGCCTCCTTAGTCCGGTTATTTAGTTCACATAGTTCATTAGAAATGACGTAGTTGAAGCTGTGACATCGGAAATCATCGTTACACGCCTGATTACATTCAGCCGCAATCGATGATTTCATAGTTTTGAAGGTGTGTCTTCGAAGCATCATGCCCAAAATGGCATGCTCATCCTTTTTGCATTCTTGAGTAAAAATTTCATTAAAGTAGCACACTGCAATTACAATACAGAACCGCATCGTCGTTACCACTGGTTCGTCTTTCCTCTAAGAGAAATTTTGAAAAAAATAAATACTGTGATTAATTTGGGTTGAAGAAAGCGGTATAATTTCAGTAAGAAATTACGGTAATTTTTTGTCGATTTTTGTCAATTATGCACCTGAGATTAACGAAAAAAGACAGGACAGAAAATGATTCATGAAATTGCGATTTGAATGTATAGTTTAGTGCGTTGTACAACTAGCTAAGTGTATAATCTTACAAATTTATCTATTTATGCTTGTTTACACATGTTTAAATATTCATCAAAATGGCCCTGAAAATATAAACATATGCTGAGAAAATTTAACGTTTATACAGAAAAAGAATTAACGAGGCTAATCATTCCACCAACTAAGATCGTCCATGTACTACCACCTATGAAAATATAGCATAACATGAGTCCTTAAGTGTGATATCTGCACATTAAGTTTTCAAAATATCTGACCTGATCCTTAGATTTCCTGTACATACATTTTTTCCTTTCTTACAGAGATAAGATCATCCTTCTGATAAAAGCTCAAGTTTATAACTTCGTTCAGGGAATCGATCCACTGGAACATACCTGTGTGTTTTATATTTATCAATTCGTTAATACCTTTGAGTAAATTACAATCCTAATTTCTTTTGTGTTATACAAACAGTGGTTTGAATTGTCAGACTTTATGTTTTACAGTTTTTAAGGTGTCAAGGATTTGAACATGCAGACAACGTTCAGCACAACAAATTAAGAGTATTTTGCAAGGAAGACGTGTTAATCAGCAGGTCCTAAACACATCGTTGAGGCAGAATTATTTAGACGATATAACTTCGTTCTCTGTCGATTAAAATGAGAATATAAAATTGTAAGGGCCTGTTCCCAATATTATTGATGTACAGAATCCCATTGACTTTGAAGGAAAAGCTACGGTATTCAGGTCAAGTCCAATGAACTTCAGTATCTTATAACACACAGTAGATTAGTCATTATCTAATAAGAGGCTTTCATAATGAAATTTACAATTGAGTACTGTTCACCCAAATAATCCTGCAAATTAATGACTTAGGAAATTACTTTATATTATAATTTTCGACTAGAACATGAACTGCATTTTCCTGAGATTTTGAGCAGTTTTTTAAATTTACTCCGTCCTGGAAAAATAGCAAATAAGTATATCTACAGAAAGCTCTTAGCTTTTGTAAATGAAACCCACTTTCAATGCCCGCATTTTCACGGTCTTTTTTTTGTAGTATATTCTCCTTTTTTGAAAACTTCCAATTAACGTGACGCCTTTAATCAGCGTTTCTCCTTTGCAACTCAGCCTCAAGTGCCGGCTCATTCCATCTAAAGCTACTGCAATTAATACAGACGAATGTTCAAAGGGCATTTTTCAAACGTTGAAGTTTGGTAAAGCAGCTGAACCTTTTTTTTTTTTTTGCAATCAATTGTCAGAAGAATAATATTTCAATGTCTCTATATGAAATTGGCTCTGAATCTTCGCGGCAAGCACTGATTTACTCCTGCCTAAAAATTCGTGAAAGTTACAGTTTTCCCTGCCTTAATAGAGCCATCTTGAATGAAAAATTTATATCAAATCTTTCGCAGCAATTGACTTCCTAATCAGGGCGCGCGTAATTTCCCATGGAGGTGTCGGAGTAACCTTATGCCGAAAAATTGCTTAGGTAAATCGTGGCACATCATTTTCTGTCTGTAATGTCACAAATCCGTCCGGACGATGGAAGAAAATTAAAAGAGTTTGATTTAAATGGGAGGTTCGTCGAACTCGGCCCTCCTATAATTTACATAGAGTTTTCGTTTTCGTTTTCGTTCAACAAAATATGTCCGTAAAGCGGTTTTTTTGCTTTTGTTTTTAGGTTTTTGACCTAAAAATGAAATTAAATCTATGAAAAAGGAAAAAAAACATGTTTAAGACTCCTATTTGTAGCAGTCAAAAAAAAAACCACGAGTATGACTGAAAAAAACACCGAGTTTAAAGGTTTCTAATTAAGCTGCCTTTGACATTTTGAGTTTTCGAAATGATAACTTTGAATCAAGATAATTGGGTATTCTCGGATGCATTTGGCGAGTATTTTTTTTTGTTTATTTCAATTAGTAGACAGTGCAAGTGATTTGGAAGAACCTTTGCCACCAAAAACACAGGGTACCAATTCGTGCAATTATTTAGACGAAAGTTTCTTGTGATTTCATGTGAAACTCATCCCTTGAAAATCATCATTAGCCCTCAGCTTGGTAAAATGCTTCATGAAATACGCGAGAAAAATATGTATGGAGAACCATTACATATTGACCAGCTTCATCATCAGGATTACCGGAGAGCTTTTACAAGCAGCCGCACATAAGGGACTTGTCATTATTTATCATTTGTCGGGGGGAGGGGGCGGGTGTAGGGGTGAAGGGCTTTGCTGGTGGAGGACTTTGATGGAGTCACGATTACCTGAAACTCCTCCGTGCAGTTCTATACATTTTTATAATCCCCACCCTTCCGCTGTCATTTCCAGTTCACTGACATTCAATTCTCTATAGTCTTCTGCCGTCATTCTCTGTCGGGGAAGACCGATTCCCCTCTGTCCCCCACTGAGAAACCTTGTGATCCCCCAAAATTCTCTACCTACCAGGCTATAAATAATGACAAATCCCTTAGTTAATGTTACTTCTTCTTCTTAATTTTTTAAATTTTAATTTATCATGATTATCATTATTATTTGTGACCAATCACAACACACTATCTGATATCGCTAAAGTAAAATTCATATAAATCACAGTTAACATCGTTCAAAAGACGACTCAAGCAATTGATAATTTTCTGAACCAGCATCGATTTAGTCGGTGCTGCAGTAGCGGAGGGAACATGCGGGTGTGCCAGTTATGTAGTAAACATAGTAATCACCGCAGTTTATCACGTTGACAGATCTTGACCAGTTGCAGCAGTTTGACCCCCAGTGGAAGCAAACTGTCCTGGTGACCTGACCATCAGCCACTGTGGGATGAGCACCATTTAGCCAACCGGATGCGTGAGTGTTACATCGCTGTTTTGGTGGACATGAAGTAGGCATTCTTGTACCTGCTGCTCCTTCAAAGCGATACCAACCATGAATACCCCTGTCACAAACCGTGTTTTGATTGCCATAGGTTATCTTTCTGTCTGACCCAGTCAGACTTTGATAGTTTTGACACTCTAAAATGGACAGAGTAGAAATGATTGACGTAGGTCCAAGAATCGAAACAAACCAAGTAAAACCCTTGGTATTTGATTTATATAGAATATATGACCTCTGCGCTACTTATTAGTGTAGTTAAGAGATTAAAATCTCCTAGTGTATTAATCTTTACATTTTTGACTCCAGGAAAAAACGCGATAAAAACGCAGCCAATATCTAGCCATCATGACCAAACAAATGAAGTCAGTTACGAAATAGTTTTACGGCCGCATAATCACATCAAAGAGTCACAACATGAATTCAATTCAAGTAGTCATGGTTTTTCTTGTTTTGACTTTCCTCGTTTGTTGTTACAAGCATATTTAATTTCCTCTGGAGTTAAGGCGGAAGATCTTCAGCGCAAGCAACCGTCTCAAACATTCCGCGCAAAAAAATTAAAAAAAAAGTTTCGGCAGTGTTCGTTGTTTGATTACTTTTTGAGTCATCAGTTGTCCTCTCCCTATTGTTGCCTAGGATTTTACTGTTGATGGTTTTCACTGTCATCCAATTGAAAACTAAAAGCAAAACTACATACTAGACGCCCGACCCCAAGAGAGTGAGCTACTGTACATTATCAATAATCAAACAATCATAAATAAAACAATCTGCTAAAGTATCAGATCTGCAGGTTTTCCGCTGATGATTTATGACCTAAATTTTAAGAGCTCAGTATGGGGATGCCAAGTTGGTGCCCTTCCGTCGAACACCAAGGAGTTGCTGCCCTTGATAGTATAAAACACCCCAGTGAATGGTGCTTTTCGCGTGCGCTGATTGGCTGGTTCGGGAGTGATTTGCAAGTTCTTTTAAGTTAAATCTAATTTTCAACCAATATTCGTTATATTGTCTGTTAAACCCACTGTCGGTTAAAGTGGTGGATATTTACCTCGGCGCTTGACGGCTCGATAAATATCCACGACTACTCTCCTCCACTTAAGTGGATTATTGTTAATTATTTTGGATTTTCGATTTTCATAACGTCACGTGAAATCCAAAGATATGAAGCAACAAAAATCCTTGAGCGAAAAAAAATGAAGCAAAAAAAAAAGTAAGTTGCTAGTTGCTTGATTACTATCTGAGTAATAAGTTTATTACCCCCCTGTTGCTTGTATCTATGTCAAGCCGGATGCCTGCGTGAAAGCATAGTTACAAAAGCAGCAACATTGGAAGACCCGACTCAACTTTGTACCTGACGGGAGAGGAATGCAAGATTTTCCATCCCCTCTGTAGGGCTTGTTACATGAGCACTTGAACGATCCTACAGTGTTGGTACATGAAGCTGAACTGTGGCAATTGTGAACACCGCTGGCACATTCGTCAATATCTGTTGATATAGATTAGCGGGTTGATACAAATATCACATACAACGTAGGACAGGAATAATTAGTGCCGCGCTAGAAATGTTGCAGGCCACAAACATGAGTCGATTTTACGCTTTTTTTTTTTGGTATGGATGGTAGTCGGTTAAAATGGTAATGGTCATCAAACACACACATTTGCCTGCAAAAGCTGCATATTCATATGCTAGTTTGGTCTGAATGCTTTGCAATTAATCACTTGCTAAAGTTCCTTGGTCGAGCCGTGATGATAGAAAGAATTTGGCCCTTGAAAGTCTGCCGAATCATAGAGTACACATAACTTTTTTTACTCAATAAATACAAATATGTGCAAATGGTAAAAATGATGAGGGTAAGGTCTACTACTATTTATGATGGTTGCTTTAAGGTTTTCATTGAAAGGCAACAAAAAGTGTATATTATTGTCATTAGCTTTATATCTAAATTAC